TGCATACGTGGACTCAAAGTCTTCTGGAACAAAAAAAGATCCTGTGAAGCAAACTAGTTGAAACGAATTTCCTTGGTGTGCAAGAGAAGTGGAAAGAAAATCATTCCAATTCAACGCTAAAAATTGTTATTTACTACAAAGCTCATTCCTACATTTAAGGCAATTAACGATTAGGAGTGGAAGCACTTTCAAGGGTAATGAGTAGTCTAACGATTTGGACTTGTTTTGTGCTTGCAGATCACATTCCACTACGATCGAAACGCGGACGCAGCGGCGGGCTTTGGGGAGGATGCGTTGGTGCGCTTGCAGGCACAGTGCCGAGCCTACCTTGCCAAAAAGCGCTTTGTAAGTCTTGTTGACTGCCGTCTTTTGCTGACGAAAATGGGAAGACATGAGCACATGGGAGTGTGAAATAGTGCCTCAGAATTGTTGATGAGTTGATTCGAGCAGTTGGATGCAGTCCCCTTAAGGGCTGTACCAAAACACTGAATGAGTTGCAGACCTTGCAGCACGCCAAAAGGTAGGCGGCCAGGACGCAGCGGTACCGTTAAATATGAAAGACTCTCATTGGTGCAGTTAAGACATACTGACGAGTGGCGATTATTAGGGCAAGTCTGAAGCCTCCGCAAACGGTCGATTTGAGGGGCTTTTGGAGACAGAAGGTAGTTTTAATGGTGGTTGCTTGAGTCGGTGCAACACACCAATTCGCATCGCCTAAAGTCCAGCACGGAATACAAATGAAGAGTTTAATGCAAAAAAAAAACTGCACATAGCTTGAGCCACGAGATAGCACTGACAAATTCCTTTCTTCATCTTTGCAGAAGTGGTTGTCAGGGCAGATTGTGCAACACGTAAAACACCAATTGCTCATTCAAAATCACAAAAAAGTGTGCAGCCTCTTGACTTACACGTCATTAGCAGATACGCAGAGATGAAAGAAAATTACCTCCAATAGTAAAAATGCAAGAGCAATGGTAGCTTGCCACGTTTGCAAGCACTCAAATTTGACTCAAGACTTAGGCAGGTGTCGGAGTATGCAGTTATGCCGACAAAAGCTCTTGCGTTTGTCTATTTTAAAGTACTGTTTCGGCTTAAGTCCATTCATTCAAGTGATAGGTTGTCCGCCGGCGTCATTTAGAAG